GATTCTGATTTAATTGGTGAGGGGTGTAGTTTGGGAATTGGGGTAACAATGGAAAATGCATTTCTCTGTGTAAAGAGACTTTTGCTCATTATATTCTCTGTCGCCCAGGCTGGAGTGCAGTGGCAACCCTAATATAATTATCATACTCAGGAAATATAACATTATGGCTGGGTGCTATGGCTCACGCCTGTAATCCCAACATGTTGGGAGGCTGACGGGGATGAATCGCTTGAGCCCAGGAGTTTGAGACCAGCCTGGGCAACATGGTGAAACTTCATCTACACCAAAAAAAAAATTAGCTGGGCATGGTAGTGAATGCCTATAGTCCCAGCTGCTTAGGAAGCTGAGGCAGGAGAATTGCTTGAACCTGGGAGGTCAAGGTTGTAGTGAGCCATGATTGTGCCATTGGCCATTGTACTCCAGCCTGGGTGACAGAGTGAGACTTTGTCTCAAAAAAAAAAAAAAAAAAAAAAAAAAAAGCTGGGTATGGTGGTACACACTTGTAGTCCCAGCTACTTAGGAGGATGAGGCTGGAGGATCACTTGAGCCTGGGAGGTTGAGGCTGCAGTGAGCTGTGATCATGCAACTGCACTTTAGGCTAGGTGACAGGGTGAGACTCTGCCTCAAAAAAAAAAAAAAAAGGAAGAAAGAAAGAAAGATGATAGATGTTTACTCATTTACAACATTCAAATACACAGCACTAATATTAGTAGGAGAATGTTAAAAAGACTTTCTTGAGACTTCAAAAGTATTTACTGACAAAATTATAACTAGCAAGGTAAGTAACCTACTATCTTTTAATCAAGATTGGATCATAATATAATGATAAAATAATACTTTAATAAGATTATATTTGTTGTTAAGGTAACGTAATAATTATTTTGGGATTCCACTCAAAGGAGACGAAGTCTATTGATGCGCGCAGGCTTGGTCGCCGAAACCCTGACTGTGTGATCTAACCCAGCCTCAGCCCTCCGCGAAGTTGGCTGCGGTTGACAAGATGGAGATACAAAAATTAAAAATACAATTACGGGCGTTCGGGTGGCAGGTGCCTGTAATTCGCTACTGACTGAGGCAAATCACTGTTGACCTGCGGAGGCAGAGTGCAGTGAGCAAGATCGTGCCCATTTTACCTCTTGACAAAGCCAAAATCCTCACTCCAAAAAAAAAAAAAAAAAAAAAAAAAAAAAATATTGTTGTATGGTCTATTATAGTCTTATATAGGTTAGGCCGCTTTCGGATGTAGTTGTTTATATCAGTTTTTTTGTGTGTTGGTTTTGAGAACAGATTGGCTCGCTCTGTCGCCCCGGCTGAGGTCGAGTTGTTGTGATCTCGGCTCACTGCAAGCTCTGCCTCCCGGGTTCACACCATTCTCCTGCCTCAGCCTCCCAAGTAGCTGGGAATACAGGCACCCTCCACCATGCCTGGCTAATTTTTGTATTTTTAGTAGACAGGGTTTTACCGTGTTAGCCAGGATGGTCTCGATCTCCTGACCTCATGATCCGCCTGCCTCGGCCACCCAAAGTGCTGGGATTATAGGCGTGAGCCACCGCGCCCGGCTTATATCAGTTTTGTACATCTTCTTTCACAAACTAAGTTGGATGAGATCTTATCCCATGAAAAACACCCAATCATGGGATGGGTGTATGCTGTATTTCTTCAACAGCATCAGATGCAAAATGAAAAATAAAAACTATACAGTATGTAGATGATTGCTTACGACCATGAATAGAACTTTTATTTTCCAGTTAGTTTTTTGCTATCTAGATTTTAATAATCAGGTTATTAAAAAGATACTTACTTTAAAATCAAGATATCTATGTATGATACAGAGGGTGACAAAATCTTCAGCGGAGAGGCCAGGTAAATTTTCAAAATCTAAAATAAAGTTTATAAAGACAGAATTACTTTAGCAGAGCAAGTGATTAAAAGAATCTATCTATCTATCTATCTATCTATCTATCTATCTATCTATCTATCTTATCTATCTTAAAACAAATGCAAAGTTACTTTTGATTTCACCTTGCTTTATGATAAAGTTAATTCTGTGAGTAGCTTGTGAGTAGGCTTCCTTCTATAATAAATTTCTGCCAGGTCATCTAATATATAGGAATAGTTTCTGTGTTGTAGTCAGACAATAATATCTTACTTCAGAAGCTGAAAAGTGTTTGATAACTTTTTCCTTAATAGAAAGCAAAGACTTAAAAAAAAACTCAAGTGACTCAGAATGTTAGTATTTTAAGCTTAATCATCTAAACTAACTATCCTTAATCCTATCTGCACATTGGAATTGCCTGGGGAGCTTTAAAAAATACTGTTGCCTGGATCCCACACACAGAGATTCTGATTTAATTGGTGAGGGGTGTAGTTTGGGAATTGGGGTAACAATGGAAAATGCATTTCTCTGTGTAAAGAGACTTTTGCTCATTATATTTGAAAAACTGACTCCAAAGTAAAATCAGTGTGTATACTTAGCAAAACAGATAGACTCTTGCAAATTTGAAGAGAACTTCTTACCTAGTTTGCCCAATATAGCATAAATTTTTGCTCTAATATTCTCAGAAACATCCATAACCGCAATAGATGGGCAGTTAGCAGGCAGTGGGATGATTTTGTGCTCTTCTTGAAAGCTAGTAAATAGAGGTTTTTTTGTATCTAACCATTGGATAGCATGAAAATAGAAAAGGGACAGATCAAAACCATAGTAAACAAATACTTAATTTTGAGATTTTACTCTAGATAACATAACACCGCCATCGCCTCCCAAATGCGGGATACAGGCGTGAGCCACCGCGCCCGGCCCTGGTTACACTTTGGAAATAATAATTTAGCAGCTATTTCTTCCCCACTCTGTGGCAAAACTTAGAGCTTTCATTTTTTTTTTTTTTTTTTCTTTTTTTTGAGACGGAGTCTGGGCTCTGTCTCCTGCCCAGGCCCCTGGATTGCCGAGTTGGCATGGATCTCACTCACTGCAAGCTCCCCGCCTCCTGGGTTCACCGCCATTCCTCTCCCGCTCGCTCGCCTCCCGAAGTAGCTGGGACCACAGTGGCGCCCGCCACCTCGCACGGCTTAATTTTTTGTATTTTCTAGTAGAGACGGGGTTTTCAGCCGTGTTAGCCAGCATGGTCTCGATCTCCTGACCTCGTGATCACCATCTCGCCTCGCCAACAGGCAGCGGATACAGGCTGTGAGCCACCGCCGCGGCCAGAGCTTCATTTTATTGCTTTATAGTAAAATATAAAATTT